CACTGATTTTCCAAAATAAAATTGACCGCTGTTGTTTAAAAATTAATTATGACCAAACCAGAAGAGACTGGATCGCGCATTTTATGGCAATGCATTGAGAAAACTATGTTCTATGATTTCACAGAGTGTCGCCTCCTTGCAGGCTCCGCTCGAATTTTGAGAATTTTTTAAAATGAGACTTGCAATGAATCTTAAGATAAAATTTACCAGCCATTGCACAAAAATTCATTACGACCAAACCAGTAGCGATGGAAACGCGCGTTTTATGGCAATAAATAGAGCAAACGCTGCTCTATCATATCAGAGAGTACCGTTTCGTTGCATATTTGGGCTGAATTTTGAAAATTCCTCGAAATAAGACTTGCAATAACTGTTGCCACCAAGTTTATCCTCCCTTGCTCAAAAATTAATTGCGAGCAAACTATTTGCGGTGAAAAAGTGAATCGAGCTGATCCCACTCTATGATTCCGTAGAGTTCCATTTTCTTGAAGACTTCAGTTGAACATAAAGAATTTTTCAATATCAGACTTACATTGAATTTTGAGAATAAATGTACCCGCCGTTGTTTAAAAATTAATTGCTACCAAGCTAGTTGAGATTCAAACGCGCCTTTTGCAATGATAAATAGCGCAAATATCACACCATGATTTATAAAAGTTTTACTTTCTTGATGGTGTGGGCGAATTTCTCAAAGTCAGACTACAATGAGTTTTGAGTGTAAATTTACCCGCTGTTGTTCAAACATCCAAATACAACCAAACCAGTTGAGATCGAAACGCGCCATTTGCGGCCATAAATAGAGCAAACTTCACTCTATAATCACCCTGTTTTTGAGGCGATTTCAGAACGTTAATGAATTATACACGCAAGCCGGAGAACATGAAACCCAGAGACTGTCAAACTATTGCAAGCTCAATAGAGAAAAACTCACATTTTTCCCAGTCCAAAGGTCGTTCTGATGATTAAAAAATTAACATTGTTTAAAAACAATTCCGCAATTGCTTATTTGGTATGTTAATTTATTAATTACCGCAACAATTCGTCAAAAAGTGATAGATTGGCGTGGTGCTGCTGCCTCTCTGGTACGTCTCAGTAACATCTGATTTGCATCGGAATTTACCAACACTTATCTAACCCGTCTGGAAGTGAATAAATCAGGCAGAATTTTGAAAAATTAAGACTAATGATAACAGCCATCAATAAATTATGACTGGGTGGTTTTTAATAGAATACAATGCTAATTGCACGGATTTCAAATAGTTGGCTCACAATAAATCGTTATGAGGTTCATTTTAGCGGAGTTTGCAACTGGACAAACGTTTCTCATTTTGCTTGGCTTGATGCAATTTATTCGAAATAATTGCTCCTCTTCATGTAAATACGCAACACGTAATCGAAACTTGCTTACCCCTATAAAGTGTATGGACATCGGGTTTATTATCTCTTAAGTACTATCGCATTAAAACAAGCCACTAATCAAGCCAGTTTCTATAATCTTTAATCTATATAATGGTGTTTTATTGTACACCAGGCGCTCGAGATTGCAATTTTAATTGCAGATTTGATGTTGTATTTTCCTCGACCGCTATTTTATTTCTAATAGGAATCTAAATCTATAATGGCTGCCTGTTCTAGACTACCAGAGTTCATTTACAAGGACGCTGTCAAGGTTAATTGCATTTTACATTTGAAGGCAAAAGAAAAGCCATTGAGTTGCGCTTTGTCAGTTGAATCATTTACCGGAAAAGACTTTGATGAAATGAAAACTTCCCAAAGTGTCTTGATGGTCAAACTTTCCCTACAAAGACCGGAGACTGTCACGTTTTTATACAATGAAGGAAATATTCGATCTAGGTATGCACAAAAAACCCTGCTGCATAAAACATAAGCAAGAGCCAACATGTCACGATCTGGTGAGCACGCCAAGGGCAAGGGTCGATGAACATCCTCTGATATGAACGTGTTTTCATTCTTCCCCAACTCAAATACTCAAAGAATATGCCTGAGTTGGGCACAGTTTAAGTGCGATTGGTAGCTCAAGCAAACGGATGTTGTCATCGTTTCAACGAACGGAAAAAACAACGGTTTGTCGTCAAAACATTTCAATTAGAATCAGTTTAAGTCGAATTAGAGACGAATCAGTTTTATTGAAAAGTAGCGTTATGCAATCGAGCCGTTTTCATTTAAGTGTGCGCATTGCACTAATCAGCGAACGATGAAATGACCGTAAAATGTTACGGAAGGACTGGAGACAGACAATTGAAAAATCCGTTTATATAACCATTATTTACACGTAGTTCGGACTAGGAGATGTTTAGTAGACGAGTCTGCCTGCAATTGTCCAGGAAGTTCATTAGCATTTTACATGGTTGTTGCTTTCAAAACCGGCTCCTTTCTTCTTCTCCTACTTCTCCTGTATTATAGGCGCATGTTCTTCTACACACGCCTCACGTCTCAGTGAAAGAGGATTCCCAGGTTCAACCTCTTTCCAACATACACCTCTGTGTGAATTTTTATTCCCTCCGGACCTCCTCCAACTCACGCGAACAAGCGATTTTTTTCTCAACAGAAATGTGCATGTGAAATTTCTCCGAAATCTTCCCGAATTTGTCGGAAAGTCGTTTCGGTAGATCGTCCAACCATTCATGTGAAATTATGTATCATATACCAGTAGTCCAGCCTTGATCCTCAGGGTCGGAATAAAGTGAGAATATTAAAACGCCATAAATGAGGAAAACAAAACGGCTCGATGCGCTCCATGCGGGTACGATAACCCTTTCGTGATAATGAGGCTATAAATTAGAGATTGGGCCCCCGCACAAGGCCAGGGCCGGACTGGTTTTCACCGTTAAACCAAACGCAAAAATCGTGAGCAAAATGGTTAATCACTTCTGGTATTTTCAGTCCGCGCAGTTTCCTTTGTTTCACTGTTCCATCTACGCGATAAAGAATGGATGAGTCGAATTACCATGCATTTAAAAATTGATTGTTGTCTCATTGGCAATTTCTAGAATGTTGAGGGTGTTTTTCGAAAGTTATTGCAACATTTCTTTATTCTAATTATTTTTAAATTTGCGCGATACACCTTCAGTTTCTGAATCAATTTCGCAGCTAAAAAAATCCCAATTTGAGAACCTAAACATGAAACTTTGCAAGGAAATACAGAAGAAACGCGTAAACTTTTTTCTTGTACAATAGAAACCTTCATTCGTTCATCTGTTGAATGGGCGAAAGTTCCCAAATCCTCCACTAATTTAATGTCGACTAAATCCCAACAGTTCATGAGACGAGTTTCCTAATCGATCAACTTGATGGTGCAAATATATACCTAATCAATAATATCATTTCAACATTCAATTTACGATCCCATGCGTTTCCACACGTTTCAGACCCTCACATTGTAATGCACCTAATTATTAATGGCGACGCGGAATTAAATCAAGTGGTAACACACTTCTTTAGCACTCTTTCAATGTATGGCCTTCGATGGCGTGTGCTGCGTGTATGGAATGATTAACTTTACCGTTCGGTTCCAACATAGAGCAAGAACTTTAATTGCGTTTACCGAAATAATTTTTATAAACTTTTTTCCGCAGGCCTTGATTGGCTTTCATCGGGAAAAGGCCAGCGGAGTCCGTTAAATCTTGAGTTCAAATAGAAACATCGAAAAACTGTTCGAATTAATTATATTCTATGAATCATTTTTGAAAAAATGAAAATTTTTTCAAAATGTCTTAAATTTTACATAATTTTCAGCTCACGGACGCGAGGAATGCATCGAACTAATTGGAAAACATGCTAGAAGTTTCAGATACAAATTAATAGCCATTTTCGGACGTTTTTTAAGTGTTCACGCTCTTTAACCGACAATTTCTTCCTTATTATTGACCCAAACACTTTACAAATGCATATTTGTGACCTGGCGTCGAAAGGAATCGATTGATGATCCGAATTAATTTCCGTTTCGACGGTAACTTGCGCTGAATTTGCACTGCAAAAAGAAAAATAAACCAGCAATTTACTCGCATTTTTCAAACATCTGCTCCTTCAAGGCTTATCTAAAATTCTTCCAATTTTTAACTTTTCGAGTGTCAACTTTTTGAATGGAGTTAAAATTATCGCATTCGGTGCCAAAGACGTAACTTTATATGGGCATGACGATCATTCTTTCCACTGTTCTATAAGCGATATTAATTCGTTAAAACCATAAACTACATACTCTGTCAAGGCAAACATAAATGTCTAATCAATATTGCTCAATAATGAATTAAACGGTCGGCTGAAGTCCTTTCATGGTAGCCATGCGGCAAACCATTGCCTAACGACTGTTAAAAATTGATTTTTGGCCCATTAAACTGCAATTGTTGCCCAAATTCTCGCTATTCATGTCACTTAATTTTCATATTAGCCATCGGAAAAAAAACTATTTCTGATATGCAAAAATTGGGAAATTGCCATCATTTTACATAACTGCTTGATCGGTTATGGCTAGAGTAAGTGAAGTGTGTTTTATGGCACATTTTTAGAGCTTCAGCTTAAACAAGAGATGAAAAGTTCATAATATTCGAAGAAACTTTTACAGTCATTTTTGGGATTTGTTCTTTGGAGAACTTGAGCGATCTTTACGGGTTTTAATGTGTGTTTGCTTATATTTTTATTAATTGTTGCAAAGTGGACTTGGAAAAAATCTTAAATCCAAATGTATATTTAACGGATTGCATAAACATAACCGAAAAAAGAGCCCACCTTAAAAACGGTTAACATGGTTCTGTGACCAAGCGAAGTGTTTTACCATTATTTATCGCTTTGTTATGCTACTTGGCAAAGTCAAGGTGAGTTCATAATGCCAAATTACCATTAAGTAAGTACCGTACTTTCCGCACTGAACTGGCATAACAAAAATGGCAAATTCAATGATTGAATCAACAAAATCCGACTCTAAAACCGCATGGGAAAACTGTATTTGAAGTTGTCGACAATTATTTGAGCAAAAAACTTACAAAGAGGATGATCGACTCTCCCGCAGCCCTTCTTTGGGTGGCGACATTCTAGAGCGATGATCGTGTGAAGGCTTAGCTCTCATGCTCTGGTTTATTCGCATATGTCTGGGTTGGAGTGGAGGCGGCGCCTCCTTCACTGGGCTTTCAGCTATTGAAGCTCTCTGGGCTCTGGAAAATGTATCGAATCGCTCGAATTTGTGTTCCAGATTATTGACAAATTCAAATTAGGATGTTTGGGGAAGGAAATGAAAATTAGTCTCCAATCAACAAGGTTTTCTGTTGGGTTTTTTTGGGTTTGAGTGTCTTTGCGAGACAATGGGCAAACCGGTAGGAGACTTCCGTTAAAGACTTCACCATTGAAAACGCTAAACCCAACCAGAAGGTTTCAAGCTTCTTAATATAAGAGGAAGAAAAATGTACTGAAAATTATGCATATTCTGCCCTGCGAAGACAGGAAGTCGTATCTGCAAAAACGAAGTTTTGAGATATTAAGCAATTTGTAAATTATGACATGCCATCTTCGCTTATTTGCAAAACTTCACGTTAATAAACTTACACAAGAAATCTTAACGTTGTAAATTTCGGGATTTGATAAAAACATTGACTTTTGTTAGATACGACTTTTTGTTTTAGTATCCTCATACTATTAAGGTATACACATACTAAGTAATTTTGCAGTATAGTACTCATAGTTTAGCAAATAACATAAAGTTGAGTTCAATCAATGGTCCACTAAATTTGGTCCACTCCCTTTTAAAATGAACCTCAACAAAATTTGCTAAATAAGGTTTAGGTGTAATTTTGTTCATTTTGAATCTTGCAGAATAGCCAATGAAATCATGAAAATCATTAAGGCTCATTTCAATCATCTCTGCCCTTGAACTATTTGATTTTTTAACACACATTTTAAAATCCTCGAAATCTAATACTTTTCCTGTTTGTTTTAAAGACTTTTCCACTTGGAAAGAGTCAGCGGACATGAAAGTTTTGTCAGATTGTAAATATTTTAATTTTAATAAACTTAGATTTACTTCTAACGAGTTAATAATAAAAACAAAAAATCAATATAAGGCCCAATTCTTGTTTTGCGAAGCGCAGTTATCTAGCCAAATTGTTATTTCTTTAACATCACGGTGAAACAACAGGAATTTGCAAAAGGTTGATATTAGATCAGATTTACTTCTTCCAGCCACGCCTTCATGCCAAACAAGAGCGACCGGCTTATTTGCAAGGGATTGCTTTCCCAGAGCAACAAAGCATTCGTTAAAACAAATGATCCTTGGTGTAAAAATGATTTCTTTAAACATTTCACAGTGATTTCTTTAAATTCACTTTATTATATTTGTGATATAATAACCACCTTTTGCAAGTCTTCAGAAACAAATAATGATTCAGATCCTGCTTTTGTAGATACGTCATTTTTATATTCAGTTCTCGTTTCTATGGCATTTTCATAGCGACTTTTCCATTTTTGGCGATCATCGCAGTCGGGATCAGTATTTTCTATATCATGTTTTAAGTTTTTGGAGTGAAGGTTGAATGTTTCGCATTGCCAGCACTACTCATGACCGAGCACAGTAAACGAGATATTCATCTCAGCTAC